CGACCCTCGATCCCCTCGGAACTCGGAAGGTTAACCCGAGGGGGGAGCTAATGGTGTATTATGTTACCTCCCGATAGGCCAAGCCTTACCAAGAAACCAAGTTTCTTGAAGCCTTCCCTTCACTACCAAAAAAAATGGGGTGGTGAAGGGGAGTAGACTCAGCGAGAAATCAATGAGTACACCACCCCGACAACTCACGAGAACATACCGAGGGCTCCCCACGGGAACACCTCCGGCACCTGGAAGCTCATAATTACCCAAGATACTATTCAACAAGTATCATCAACAAATGGCTAAGTCCACTTTTGGATTGCCTCCGGCTACATCAAAACCGAAGGCTCAAATCATGCAGAACTTGATAGGCTCCCTCAACAATATTTCAAGTAATGCCGAAGGCACCTACATCCCCATCGGCACCTACTACGGTATCAATGTTCTACGAAATCCCACAAGTCCACCCTTTGGAAGCATGATAAGGGCCGAAGGCTCTTCTGATAAGCAAAGATCGAAGGCACCACGTGGAGCTGGGTAACGTAGAGGTCCGCCCCATCAGCCTTCGACCGTATCTCAAGGGCGGCGGTATTCAGGTAGGAGTACCCCTCGGGTATGTCGACAGGCTTCCCTTGATCAGCAATGCTGCCTTTCTTTTTGGACGTGGCAGCCTTCGTCTTCTTCTTCCCGGGGGCCACCCGGAGAGGGGCCGAGTTCAACGGCCGAGAGGTACTGGCTTCACCAGCGTCGCGAGGGGGAAGAACAGCGACGGTGATCCTCATGTTTTCTCTCTGCGCCTCTTCCTCGGCCACTTGCCAGGCGAGGGCCAGCTCTTCATCCTCGCATTCTTGTTCGAACCCCTCGGCTTCCACCTCGGCTACGAGGGCTCTCTGCAACTCCATCGCCACAGCGGCATCATGCCCCACCTAAGGTTGTTCACTTGGGGACTCCACACCGGAGACGGATTTATCCTCAACCGAAGGCTGCCTCGAAATGTCCTGCGAATCGCTCTGGGACGACATTTTGGTATGCTACGAAGACGGGACTCTACACCGAGGGTTGTCTACAGAATTCTAACCCCTAATCTAAGGACACAGAGCACAGCTAACTAAGAGAGGAGAAGAGCAGGTGGGGAACTGACCTTGGAATAAGAATTGGATCGAGAGCAGGTGAGCAGGTGTTTCTCTCTCTAGAAAATTCTGCAGAGCTTCGCTACAATGAAATCGCACAAGGGTAATGACCCTGGCCTTGGGGTATTTATAGGCGCCCAAATCCGGGCTTGGGCCTGAAAACTGGGCCTCCGGTACGAAGTCATCATTACAAACCGACGAGTTGCCCAATCGGTGACGCCCGCCCACAGGCGGCCAACGAACGCACACCACGTGGAGGCCCCCCAACGGCTATATTTCTGACGTTAGGTATTCCAACGGCTCTATTTACAACGGCTATATTCCGGGAACCAAGTCCGCGCCCTCGGCGGACCACTCCTTCATCAACCAAGAAACTAGCCTCCGGGCTTTCTCCTTCACTCCACTTCATCAAGAGGAGCTCCCGGGTTAGACTTACCCAGAGGTGCTCCCGGCTTATGCCCCTCATATTACATCACAAGTGCCTTCGGGCTCACTCCTTCAGAAGCCCACGGCTTCGCAATGGGTGCACCCCTCGGGAACACTCACCCCCTCAAACACATTGAGGACCACGTAGCCCCCGGGGGAGCACGCCTTCATCAAAGGCTGCCGCCCACTCGTCAACAAACAACGGACCCCTCGACAGAATAGGAAATATCATCTACATTCAACGCATCCTCATTCTCATGAATTGGGGGCTCCCCCGGCACTCCCCAGGATATCAAAGGCAAGCCTTCGGCAAATCAACACACGCGCCTTCAGACAGGGATAGCCTTCGGCAGAAATATTGCCACTCATTTCAAACCGGGATTTCACCTTTTCGACTCATCATTGGGGGAATTCGGTGTACTCTTTTTCCCTCATCGGAATTTTGTCCCACAGGGTTTTTTCCAATGAGGTTTTTAACGAGGCCTCCCCCCAAAATGAAACGAAAAGCGTCACCCCTCGACTTCATATTACAGGCAGGCACTACTCTACTCCTTTTCACCACTCTGCAAGTGTCTCAAGGAGTGGGGGACTAGAGAACCCCTTCGGAAAAGACCTCAAAAAACAAAAAATGTCAAAAACTCCCACAACAATAAGCATGATCCCTCAAGTCCCGGAATGTGGGTAACAGAGGGACTGCCCTCGGCTGAAACATGCACACAACAAACTACTCACAAACTTTACAAACTACAACGGAACAACACCAAAAGGACAAACACAGATTACTCCTTTTCCATCAAGTACCTTTCGGCAAAAGGAGTGAGGGACTCCTGATGGAGTATATGGCCCAGGAACCCCCGGCCCATAGACTCCTACTATTCTAAGGGAGGCCCAATAGACCTAGGAAGCACAGCAGGCCCAAAACACAGCGCCCCAAGTACTGAGCAACCCACGTAGCACACTGGGAGTGGCCGAAGGCTCCAAATTCTCACAGAATGGCCAACTCAAGCGAACAAAATTACTGGGAGAAAACGGTGAAAATCAGTACCCCTCGGTACCTAGAGCTCTCGGCACTAAGGAGGTCCCCGGTACTCAGAGCCCTCGGCTAATCATCTGCATGTGAGGGCACCTTTCTCGACATAATATCCTCTCCACATGCGCCTGAATCACCGTACCAAGTACGATGTCACATCCAACAGCCGCATTTAATGCGGCCACATGCGGATGTCAGCGCCACCCCGTTGAGGTGACCCCTGACCATCAGAATGATGACACGTGTCCCTATCCGGCATTTATTACTACTATAAATAGCGCCCCTTTCCCCCATTTGTAGAAGAAGCGAAATACGCTCACTACTTTCTCAGCAATACACTCTCTCTCTCTCTTATTTATGCTCTGACTTCTCTCTAGTTATTTCCCGCAATAACCCCTCGGATAAACATACCCCCGGGTAGACTATCCATCAATGGTGTGTGAATGATTCGTCCCCCTCCTGAACCGCCGCCACAGAGGAGTTACACAACTAGGGCTCGGAAGACAGCGATGCAGCTGAAATTTATTTATTTTTGCTATGTTTTGTTTGCTAAAATTTATTTTGTGGTCATTAGGTCAAATAACAAGGGTGGTAGTTTCTTAGTTTTGGTTACCTTAGTGGTTAGACTTCTGTTGAGGGGCAATCAGGCTGATTCAGCCGCTAATAGCCTCAAAGCTTTCACATTTTCAGTGATTAGTCTCGCTCTTTTTGGGGTGAACTACTCTATGTCTGAAAAAGAAGTGAGAGGGCCGGTGGGCTTCGGGTTATGTTTGTTTAGAGGAAGGGTAGTGTCTGGTGGTTACGTTTATTGTTTGCAATTTCTCTTGTTTGTACTGCGAGTTTGGAATTAATATAACATTGCTAGTTTTCCTTTCAAAAAAAAAATACACATTTGGGTACCTTACTCAGGTCCAAATATAATCAATCCTTTTGGATTAGACCTGCACCATAAGAGATGATATCATGTTAAAATGCATCTCATAATTATATTTTGTGTCTAAAGACCCTTTCGTATTTTAAAATAAAGTACGTTGGAATAGGTATTATGTGCTACACTTTTAAATTGCTTTTACAGAAAATTTTACAGAAACATATAAATCACCCTTTTAAAAAGATACAAAGTTATAATTTTTAAAAAGATCAGACAACATTGTTCTAATCACTAGGGGTCTATGGTATTTTATATTTTATATATAAAACATAATAAACTTATTATAGAATTTGATCCATCATAAAAATGTTAATATTTATGTACTTACAAAATATGTTCAAATGAATTTAAATTGAACATAGAAGTAAAATCAGATGGTATAAATATAGAAGATAAAATCCTTAAAAAGTGACTTGTTTTGTTAATTCTTAAGAAGTTATAAAATGTTGTAAAAAAGTGATTTGTTTTGCTGATCCCTATAAATTCCAATTTCTAATGAATTGCATTTGAACAACTGAATCTTTCAAACAACTTTCAGAATTTAGGCTTCCTAAATATGATTTCAAATATTGAAGCACTTCAATTTAACATGAAGAAATTACCGTGTCAAGAAAACATGATTAATCAGTTTTTTAAAAAGAGGTATTGAAATCATAGTTAAATTGTTTTCATAGAAAGTGTCCATGTATTCAAACCATTTAAATAAAATACACATTATATTATACGATAGTATAGTATGTAGGTACTACCGAACTGAACTTTAACACACGAGGGTAAATGAACATTGATATTCAGAGTAGTTCAAATTTGCCCTGGCTACTCAAGCTCATCGACTGCCGGCCTTTGTGGTAGCATTGAGTATGTATCGCCGAACAACAATCTTCCGGGCGGCACTCCCCTAAATAACGTTTTGTACGGGTCCAACCAAGAGAGAGAGAGCCTCCGACCGGATACTGTTGTGGGAGTGGTAGCTTTAAGCTTCATGACATCCCTTAATGACAGAAACTCGTCGGGCTCAATGTCGAACCGCGACGGATGGGAGAATTGCACACGACGTCAGATGATACCAAGATTAAGGTGGAGATGCTGGACGGGAGGTGCCAGGCGGATATGGCCGAGCGGCATATGGCATGGCCTTAACAGGCGGATTGAAACACATATCCTACTTTTTTAAAAATGAAACACATGCCCCTATCTTAAAACGTTCCAAACCGCATGTACGTTTTCTGTACTTCCCTTTAAAAAATGCGTCAAACCCCATGCGTATAATTACTAATGCATAGAACCCCTTTTATGAATAAATCTAATTGCTAAATAAAAGAAAAGTGATCAACATCTTTGTAATAACAGAGGGATTTGATGCATTTTCCAAACCTCACGAACTAATGTGATGAATTTCTATATCATACGGAGTAAGATGTTTGATCACTTTGATGCATTAAACCCGTCCACTCTAAAAAAAACCTTAATAAATCAGGCCCACCCTAACAATCTCGTTTGTCCGAAGTCCATCTCCGAAGCGAGGTGCGGCCAGTCGCCAACGTTCCAAGCCCATAACTACAGCCCCGAAAAACAAAATCCCAAATGCATCTCCACGACCCCACAGACCAGTCCACAGCGGCACAACAACTCAGCAAGGACGCAGGGCGCTGATCGGCAGTCGACTCCGCCACTCTGCGACTCGGCCTCCCCAGGCCCCACCTGTTCCATTTCCTTCATCATCCAGGTTTCTACCTTTACCCTTCTTTTAGTTCTTTTCTGTAATTTCAAAATTTCAATTCGATCTTAGGCTTTAGCTTCTTGAATCGTGATATTCGGTTATTGTCTGCTTGAGGTTGGGGGATTTGGTTTTCTTGAAGTACCGAACAAGCTAAGCTCCCCCTGAACTCCCTGAAGTTGTTTGTAACTGCCTATTTGGTATGAATGAATTAATGAATAATTCAATACCTGTTTCGAATTCCAGCTTTCCAATTTCATGGAATTAGATAGGGCTAATACTGATTTGGTCCTTTAATTGTAGGCCTATGAATTTAGAACCGGCAACCGAAAAAATGACCGGAACCAAACCGATATAGTACGATTCGGTTCGGTTCCTATTTATGGTGTTAACAAAATTATCGGTTCGGTTCCTATTTGATAATATAGGTTCGGTTCCCGGTTTGTTAAAAATATTTTGACGTTGAACCGATATGAAACCGTTAATGGGAATTCATTCTTAAGTGACCGTTTGGAAGACCATAAATGGGCTGATAAGCCTGAATATGTAAAAAATCACCAAACACCCCTTTATTGGGCTGGACTGCCTGATTTTTATTATAAGTTCAAAAAGTAGTCCAACCCTTAGACTTACCGACTGAAATTTATATCCTTTGGGCAGTTTGGGGTTTCATTGGGTGTCATCGTTCGAAGTAGATCGATTTGGTCTTATGATCTGCCATGAGTTTTTATTTTGTTTTGTATGTGGCTTGGACATTTTAGACATGCTGAATTTCGAATTCATTGCGGGTTTTAGCTCACTGGTGATTTTTGTTTATATTAAGAATTATGAATTTTAAATACTTGCTGTAAAGTGATATCATAAAGCAATTAAAATAAGGTTAGTAGGCAAAACAGGATAATAGATTTACTTCTTATTGTTCTGTCTCGGTTGGTCGGTTGGAAATTTATATTGATTTCTATATTAATTATAAGTTGTTCCATATCTTGTTATTTTTCATTTAAATGAGAGCTATGGAAGCCTTCAAATACACCTCACAGATTTCTCTGTAGCTAGTGTTCTTTAACACTCCTGTGAAGGTGTGAAACTAAACATACAGTGTATAGCACCTTGTCCATTGCTTGGTTAAAACTTCAACCAAATCAGGGGTGGACTTGTTTATTCATATATTTATTTTTGTGGCTGAACAAGGGGTGAGGGGGTTAGTTGGTTGTAGTCATGTATATTAAAGAAGGATGATAAAATGCAAGAACAAGTAATCTTGGCTATGGTTTCTATATAATCTTCTGCACACAAACTGGTTTCATCACTTCCATGCATTTGAAGTGTTAGTTCCCGCCAATTCTGTAATTCAAGCAAAATGAATTAATATGTTCCTGCCATATTCTAATTTTATGTCTCATTTTTATTTATTTATTTATTTACATGTGAGCTTTTAATATAGTTAATAAAAAGTGTAATTTTTTAAATTAGTTTACTCATATTAGTAAAACAGATTTACCACCAAAGCTAACTCACATGTATTTAACATACAAAGAAACAAATACCCTTTTTGGTAAATATACATTCAATCAGCCACTTCAGCCAAGACATTACCAAACACTTTCACTTCAACATTTTCAGCCATTTCAGCCATTTCATCAATTTCAGCCGTCACAGCTGCTACCAAACAGGCCCTAAATCTTACTACATATAGAGTAATAGTTAGACAACTAATGTGGTGGGTTATTCCACTTATCCATATTCTGTAAATCCACGTAGCCCATTAGACAACCAAAAGGCCTCTTCAACTCTTTGCCCATTAGCCTGCTCACCACACATAGCATTAGGAGGAAAAACCTAGCCTCTTTGCTGCTCTGCTAATTTGCTCTTTCAAATTCTCTCTTATCAAAGTCTTGCCTTGCCTTCTTGTTCCGTTCATCAACGTTTCTTCTGGTGTTAGATCTCTTATCAAGATTGAAGTTCGTTTTGGTTTACTTGCTTGGTGCTCCCTCCCGTCAAGGGCGAAGAGAAGGTAAGGCCAAGATATGTGAATTACCTTAATTACAAGCTATCTAACTTCTTCATTACTCTGTTAAATCATTATAATTTTTGTTTTTCCATATGTTAATTTTCTATTTTATCTCTCCTACAAAAACAACTTCTATCAGGCTCTCAGCTGTGTATTGCTTTTTTTTCCCTAATATTTCAGATTGTTAAGCTTTGGCTTATGAATAGGTATTTTTGGATTAAGCTTTTTTGTTATGGTGTAGATGCATGGTCATATTCAGAAGCTCAGTTTTGGGATTGTCATATTTTGATTTAGTTACAATGGAATATTTATGTCATTATTATTACCCAGTGCCGCAAAGGCTCCCACCTACGGTGGGGTAAGGGGGGTCGGATGTACGCAGTCTTACCCCTGTACTAAAACACAGAGAGACTGTTTCCGAATGACCCATAGTGAAAATCGCGTCGAAAAATACATGGACTGACTGTTGCTTCATAATAAAGAAGCGCAGACAGTTTAATGAACCATTTTGCTTTATTCCATCATATTCTCAAGCCAAAAAATAGTTAATCTTTGGCTACGTTGCAAATGATGGAAATAGATGGAATATTTATGTGCTGATTTTAATTTTTGCTTGGGGTTGTGAACTATGGGATGATTGATTCCATTTCAGTAAAGTGAATAACAATGGTATTTGTGTTTGTTAGTGTTGTTCTTGTTCCAGATAATACCTTATTTTTATGCATAGAATTGAATCAACCTGGTCTAAAAAACTGGAAGTTTTCCTTTGAACTAAATCGTAGTAGAATCAAACAGCTTTTGTAAAGTAACAAGGCTATCAATTTTTAACTTTAGTAAACGGGTTATTGTATTTTTAGGAACCATTAATAAGCAAGAACCGAACCGTTAGGATTTGATTCGGTTCCTTAACGGTTCTACAAATTTTTGACTAAAATCGAACCGATATTAAGAGTTACTTATTTCTTAACAGTTCCACCAAATTTGAATAAGAACCGAACCAGTCCCAGGCCTATTTAATTGTAAAGTATTTCTCAAATTTTTCTAGACCCAATTTGGTTCTCCTTATATAGTATATGTGATTTTACCTCATATTTTGTGGACTCAATTGTTTGTAGACCCAATTTGGTTCTTCACTTATCACTCTTGTCTCTCGTCTCACCACTCTACTCTTTTCCCAATCGCTGTTAGGTTTATTAATTGTTTAGTTTTATTGTATTTTTTATATTCAATTTGATTTGTGATTCATAGGTTCTAACTTAGGTAATGTGTTATACTAAATTGTATTCAATTTGATTCATTTGACTATTCGTGATTCGTAGGTTCCAATGTGATTTGTTATAATTAATGTAAATATGTAATTATTTAGTTTAGTTAGTATTAGCGTAGTAAGTAGTAACTATAATGTTTATTTTTATCTTCGATTTTTTGTTGCAACAAATGTAATTTTATGCTTGAAAATAAATTTTGCTAAATACACATTATTGTATTACATTTTGACCTTTTTTGGCAATATACGTTATTTACGGAGTAATTAAATTTGGCCCCCTGGACGGCAAAGCTAGATCCGCCCCTTCTCGACTCCCGAAGTCGTGTCTACCAACATAATGCCGCATGGGCAGCTCAGTTGGTCAAAAGAGTGAAACTTGGTACAAGTGACTCACGATTGAGTCCCGCTAGCGGATAGGAGTAAGTTCTCAATGTAAGGGGACTTCTTGTGAGCAATGGGCATTGCTATAGCCTATGTGGTTAGCTGAGTTACCATGATTTATGACTCCTTACATGTTTTGTCATGCCGGGGTGTGAGGGGCCCTTGGGATTGGGGATTCAACCTTTTTTGGAACAAGTGTCTACCAACATAATGTAATAGCAACACCCTCACTATTGCAATCTTTCTTGTTTGATAAAAAATTCAATTTGATTTTAAACATCATATTTATAGGATCCATTTGTAACAAGATATATTATTATTGACAACTTATGTAACATAAACTCCAATTAGAATCCCAACCCAATTGCATGTTGCCTAAGTCATTCACAAGATTGGTCTCATGCTATGTCCCTGTGTTATTTAATCGGCCAGTATTCGCTACATACTAATGCACTCGTTTATTCCATTCCAATGTTCTAATTAATAGCCCAATATTAACAATTTTTTACAACTCTGGTCATAATTGATTTTTAGTCATATCTGAAAAATTGAAACTTAACTACGGAAAATATAACATAAGAATAAGTAGTGGCTATTTTAAAATGGAAAAATAAGATTACAGGGTTAGGTGTTCCGAAGGTGAAAAATAAGATGTAATATTGTCCGTTGATGTGAAAAAATTAATGGAAGAATCAAATTTTAAGGTAAAAAATTAAAAATGTGGTGACATTGCAGAAATATGGAAAACATCAAATGAAAATTATGTAACCAGTGTACGTTAGAACATACAAAAAGTGTACTTGTAAAACATAAAGCGCATTAGAATACAAATAAAAAGTGCACAACTTTAAACAAATATGATAATCTCGTTTGTATTGATACTGCATCGCTTGGGAAATCTACGCTTAATTAATCTATTTAAAAATAATCAAAGGTCAAGATTTATTTTGGGAGAACTACATTTTATTTGATCCACTTAATTCTTATTGCTACGCTAAATGGAATACCTTGAAATGAAATGAAACGAATAAGAGTCTGTTTTTTGGCCTGAGTTGACTGGTTAAAACTTGTAACCCCTGAGCGTGAGTCAGTCTCTGACTCTCTTCAAAGTCTCAAAATCTATATAGTGCATCCAAGGGAAACCCACTTTTTTATTCTTCCGTTTTCTACAGTTGTGAGAGCGGAAGTGCAAAATGCATTCTGCCGGGTTCAGAGCCAATGCGTTGCTAACGTTCGCCGTCACCATCCTGGCGCTAATGTGTGCCATCGCCTCTTTCTCCGACACTTTCAACTCTCCCACTCCCATAGCCCAAGTCGAGGTGTTTGTCTTGTGCCCATATACTTATACAGATCTATATATGTATTGACGTATACAGTGATAGTTGAACTTGGCTTTCGGAAACCCTAGATTGTTGATTTGTTGATTATATTCTTTAAAATCTAGGTATTGAATATCAATTGGTTCCAGAAAAAACCCGACGGCGATGACGAGGTAGTTTTTCGTCCTTCTCAAATGGTGTTCACCATCTCTTTGAATTATTCCTTTTGATTTTGTGGAAAGAATTGATGGGATATATCTGTGTATGTCTTGCAATGAGAAATTCAATTAGATAATCTATTGCGGGACTTGGGTTGGTAGTAAATGTAATGAGGTTAAGTATGTGTTCAATGTTCATGGACATGAATCACATAAACAATAAAAGTAGGGTTTTACCCCAACATTTATTGTGGTTCTTTGTTTGTTTGGCACTTGACATCTTGACTTCTTGAATGGTGCTGGATACATATGGAGGAACAAAAACTAATGAATCTGAACTTTGTTTGTACTCACATTCTCGCACTGCGAGCAACCAATTACCAATACTACAACCATTTACCTGTGTAATGGTGACTAATCCATTTTGAACATATAATTTGAAGGTGTGCGTGTGACTCTATTTGGTCTACTTTTTTTATACCAAAAACTGTGAATGACGAGTTTTATATTTTTAAAGAAACATGGTGCAAAGTTTAACATATTGGCATTAGTCTTATAAAATATTTTTATATACTTTCATATTCTAATTTGCTATTTTGCATGCTATGTATTTCTTACTACGTATGTTTTATATGTAAACAGTATACACTAAATAAGAAATTATATTGATGAACAAGATACATTTTACTTTAGTTATGGCCTCCTCAAGTTTGATCCCTGGTTCTGTCCCTTGGTGTGAGCCTCATTTTTTTCAAGTTCTAAAAAATCTAAAAGTATACACTGTTACAAAGAGATACTCTGCACATACACAATGATTTTCAGCACACTCTCTATATCTTTTTACTATATTATTTTCTTCAAACTTGTGAACTGCCTTTAGAAAAACTCTAGACTACTTTTCAACTTAATTTGTGCACCTCACATTTGATCGTTCTCTTAAATTTGTTCGAATTTTAATCGGGGCATATTGAAGTGTTCAACTAGAAAAATTAGCTCAGTAGTGGAAATCAGTGTTCATGAACTTCATGCATAGAAAACTACCACAATGATTTCTTCGTAAAAATATATTTCCTGTAGTACTCTCATGCTATGTTGTAAAACCGGAGCGGTGGTCAAACCGGATTAGTGACTAGGTCACGGGTCAACCCGGACAACGCCGTAAAAACCCGGTCAAACATTATACAGTTTTATAGTACTTAACATATAATAATATAAAATTAAAATAAAGACTAATTAGTCTTCACCGTAATGAAATCATGTTAATGCTTAGTATACATTGAAAAAACACACATTATATTTTAATGTAGTGTTATTTATTATTTGGTTTGTAATTTTCTAAAATAATTTTGAAATGATTTTCTTTCTAGATTAAATATTCAAATATAGCACATAAGTTTTTCAAAAAAAATGTGAATAGAAGCACTACACTTATTTCAGAATCTTAAAAATATTTTATTAGTACCTTACGTTTAGGTGTAATGTTATTTAAATTATTAGGAAGTAAATTGGTAGCAATAAGATGCATTGGTATCCGGAAACAGCCTCTCTGTGCTTTAGTATAGGGGTAAGGCTGCGTACATCCGACCCCCCCTTACCCCACCGTAGGTGGGAGCCTTTGCGGCACTGGGGTAAATGAAAATGAAAATGAAGATGCATTGGTATTAAATACTATCGTGGTACTCATTATATAATAAAGGAAAGAAATTGGGAGTAACCAGTATACATATAATAAAGCAATACGTACATTAAACTTCAAAATGGTGTAGTAGTCCATTGGAGTGGAGTACGTGGTGACAGATGCTCGACGTGGTATCGATTCCTGGTCTCAGCAATTTTAGCTTGAACTACAAATCTCAGCCTTTTTCTGGTTTAACTGGATTCACCGGTTATTTACGGTTCTGGGGTCGACACGGGTTTTAGTGGGTCAATGGGTTTTTCCGTGTTCTGGGTGTTTTATGGGTTGGTCAGTGACCTGCCCGCATTTCTGGCCGAGTGGGCGGGTTCCGGGTCGGACCGAGCGGTCCGGGTCGGGTTCTAAAACATAGCTCTCACGGTGCCTGTTAATTCAAACTAGAAGTATCACATAAATGTTATTTGCTGATCTTGGCATGCTTTGACCAACTTTCCCTAATATGGGTGGCTATGCTTGGTTCGATGCAGATCAGTTTGACACTGAATGTATCGGCAGATTTGCAGTCGCTGTTTACCTGGAATACAAAACAGGTTTGCTCAAGTTATACACCTCTTTGTTCTAGTGCTATGGCTTCTCTCATACTTACTTTACCTTTATTGTTATGTTGTATACTTGTATGCTCTTTTGGGATCTCTCTGCATGCGGGATGACATTTTAATATGTTGTTTGCCATTATTATCATCAAACCTCTAGTAGCTTGATTCATTTATGTACGTGCTTGGGTTTATAAAAACAGCAGTCTGTTGACTTTTATTAGGATATACTCCATTACCTTATTATCAAATCTCTAGAACCATATAGCTTGTGCTTGGATTTCTAAAGAATAGTAGTCTCTGTTAGTTCTGCTTGACCGTTGATGTTTATGAGAATGTAAATTGCTAGGCTATATATTTTTACGAACACCATTTTTGACATATTCACTTCATCTTGTCAAAACAACTTGTCAAGTATATAATTACTTATCAACATAATAGTATGAATGTTTTGCAGTGCACATTTCTTGTGGATCGTGGAATTTTAATTATACTGCATACACACACATATTTGTGATTCTTAATCAATGATAAGCTCAAACAGATTAGTACTTCAATGATAGGTTTATTGTCATTCGTTCTACGGTGAGTTCTATTTTGAGTATTAATTGTGTAGTCTCTTTAAACCTTTGCAGGTTTTTGTGTTTTTGGCAGCTGAATATGAAACCCCAAAGAATGCCCTGAATCAGGTATTTTTTGGTTCACTATTTTTTTTCAACAAGAATCAGGCGATTCCAATGTTGTTCAATGTGCTGTTGGTTATTCAACTTTTTCCCCATCTTACATCTAATATGCCTCATGTGATAAGTTAAAATACACTTGAAGATAATGATATCAAAATTACTCTATAGTCTATTCCGTGTCTCTTTAAATTCTAGGCATGTAAGATTTGCAATGCTTTAGTAGATGGAATCTAATTAGAGATTATAATCATTATATGCTAATTTGATTACATTGTCTGATGAGGTAGTAGACTTCAACTTTGATATAAGCTTTTCTGTGAAAATTATATACCTAGTTACAAATTCCTTATATTTTCCCCAAGGATATCTTCATCTCATTATCTGGTAGAGTAGTGAGATAGACATAGGTTCCCTTGTGCACAATTGAACTCATGATAAAGGGAATAACAACCAAGTGTAATTACAACCTAGTAATGTATCCTTTAGTCTTTAAATCCATTTATTTTGTATTAGTTTGATGATTTTTTATAACTTTTATTCTACAAAGTAAGAATAGTAATATCATGATATTAAAGCCTCACCGTGTTGTGAACAATTAATGCTTTATTTTAATTATGTTACTGAACATATTGTGCATAATCAATATTTTCTTTTTTATTGTGATGTTATAAGTTAATATCTTGAAATAGGTATGATCTTAATATTGTGAAAATTATGTTATAACGTGCCCAGTCATGGATTGATTTGAATTGTTTCCTCCATCTGACCTAAACCCTCTTGTCAAAGGTTTCATTGTGGGATGGTATTATAACTGCTCAAGAGCATGCAAAATTTTGGATCCACACAAAAAATAAGTACAGATTCATCGATCAGGTTGAGCACCAAATCTGTTTGATTGTATTGCATATTTGTCTTTTGTTTTCATGAATGTTTTTAATCATGTTTAGGGAAGCAATCTCCGTGGTAAAAGTTTCAACCTTACATTGCATTGGCATGTTATGCCGAAGACTGGCAGAATGCTCGCTGACAAGCTTGTTATTCCTGGCTTCTTTTTGCCAGAGACATACAGATGAGTCTGGTCATTTTTAATGTAATTTTTAGACCCATCACTTGATGGAATGTGGACAGTTTCCAAGACACTGTTGGAAAGAAAGGTTAAAGGATGTTCAACAACAGAACTTCATCGGCTATCATATCATGACAATTAAAATGCTGCATTTTAGTCTTGTTTGGTTTGGGGATTTCAGAGGAAGGGCTGGAACGGTTAAATCAGTTCCACTAATTTATCTATATTGCATTCTATATTGCATTTATTAGTGTTATATGAGAAAAAGGAAAAGAAATATCCACTTGATTAAACCCTCTAAAATCATACAATATACGTAGTACTACGTATTAGTCTACGAGGAAGACATTATTTTCGACTGAACCCATAAGTCCTGATTAGTCTATGAGGAAGACATTATTTTCAACTGGACCCAAAAGTCCCGAGTCCTGACGGTGGACTCTAGGAACACATTATACTTAGGGATGGATTCGGGCCGGGTTGGGCCCGGGCCGGGCCTAGGCCCGATCGGGCCGCCGGTTCAAAAATAGTGGGCCCGGGACCGGCCCGAGGGTTGGACGGGTCCGGTTCGGGCCGGGCCACCCGCCCGGGTCACGGGTCGGGTCCGGTTCGGGCCGGGCCACCCGCCCGGGTCACGGGTCGGGTCCGGTTCGGACCGGGCCGGTTAATTTTTTTTTAATAATTTATATTTTATAGTTTATAGTTTTATACGAGTATTAAAAACAAACTTCAATTGCATTTATTTGAAATGAAATAGGAACTACATTCGAAAATTAAAACAAACTTTAAGAGATAAACATTTTGAAAATTGTAATCAATCAGAACTTCCCGCACCTCCCGATCCTTTGGCTTTGTCACATGACTTCATATGCTTGATTGCCATCCCGAATCCGCCTGAAGCCCCCATGTTACATTTTTTCTCGCACCATTTGCAAATTGCGTACCACATCCCGGTCTTCGGGTCCTTCTGCTTAGTGATGGATTCGGGCCGGGTCAGGCCCGGTCGGGCCGCCGGTTCAAGAAAAGTGGGCCCGGGACCGGCCCGCGGGTTGGACGGGTCCGGTTCGGGCCGGGCCACCCGCCTAGGTCACGGGTCGGGTCCGGTTCGGGCCGGGCCGTTTTTTTTTTTTTTTTTTTATAATTTATATTTATAGTTTATAGTTTTATACGAATATTAAAAACAAACTTCAATTGCATTTATTTGAAATGAAATAGGAACTACATATAAGAGATAAACATTTTGAAAATTGTAATCAATCGGAACTTCCTGCACCTCCCGATCCTTTGGCTTTGTCACATGACTTCATATGCTTGATTGCCATCCCGAATCCGCCTGAAGCCCCCATTATACATTTTTTTTCGCACCATTTGCAAATTGCGTACCACATCCCGGTCTTCGGGTCTTTCTGCTTATCAAAATTATACCGTATAATGGCATTTTGATTTTCCATCTTAACTTCTTGGAGAAGAGAATATGAGAGTAGATATATAAATATTGGAGAATAAGAGAATTAGAGAGTAGAGAGATAAGAATAGGAAGAATTGGAGAAGAGATATGAAAAAATGTTTAAGATTAGGAGTATTTATAGGTTTTTTTTACCCCCCACCAACCCCCCCACCACCCAACCCCCCCGGACCCCCCCTTTACCCCACCCAACGGCTATATAGCCGTTTGGGTTGTCCCCAGCCCCAGCCCCACCCCCAACGGCTAGTAGGAGCCCAAACCAATTTTTTTTTTTAAAAAAATTGGACCGGACCCGGGCCCGGGCCCGACCCGGCCGGGCCGGGTCACAAAAATGCTGAACCGAGCCCGCCCCGCCCTTCCCACCGGTTCGGGACTTCGGGCCCATACCCGGTCCCGGACCGCCCGAACCGGGCCGGCCCCGGGCCCGCACACTACCGGGCCGGGCCGGGTCACGGGCCGGGTGGCCCGAACCGAATCCATCCCTACTTCTGCTTATCAAAATTATACCGTATAATGGCATCTTGATTTTCCATCTTAACTTCTTAAGTACAAACTATAAAGTAGATATATAAATAGTAAATATAATATATTGGAGAATAAGAGAATTAGAGAGTAGAGAGTTAAGAATAGGATTTAGGAAGAATTGGAGAAGAGATATGCAAAAATGTTTAAGATTAGGAGTATTTATAGGTTTTTTTACCCTCACCCCCCCACAGCCAACCCCCCCGGACCCCCCCTTTACCCCACCCAACGGCTATATAGCCGTTTGGGTTGTCCCCAGCCCCACCCCAAGGCCCCAACGGCTAGTAGCCAAACCAAACAAAAAAAAGTTTTTTTTTAAAATTGACCCGGACCCGGGCCCGGGCCCGACCCGGCCGGGCCGGGTCACAAAAATCCAGAACCGAGCCCGCCCCCGCCCCTTCCCATCGGTTCGGGTCAATACCCGGTCCCGGACCGCCCGACCGGGCCGGTCCCGGGCCCGCACAGTACCGGGCCGGGCCGGGTGGCCCGAACCGAATCCATCCCTAATTATACTTGAGAAGAAGATTTAGGTGTCTAAAAAAAGAACCAAAGAAAGACATAATCATTGACATCATGAGAGAAAGATGTGTATGTCTAGGCATGGACTCGGTCCGGTTCAGGCTGGGCCTCAGGCTGGTCTGGGTTGGGCCGGTCCGGGCTTTTTTCTGGATTCTTGAGGCCTGGAACCGGCCTGGGTAGCTACTGGGTTCGATTTGGGCCGGGCCAGTTATCTTTTTTTCTTCTAATTACTACCCCACCCCCTCACCCCAAACCGCTCCAAAACACCCAGCACAACCCATTTACATTTTAAAGATTTTCAGAGAAAAAAATTGGCCCAGCGGTCCCGACCTGGTTCATTTTTTTGAGACCCGGAGCACGCCTTGAAATAGTACCGGACCGGGTGGCCCGAGTCCTTCCCTACGTATGTCCCTCACTAAAAAAGTAGCATATGCTTAAAATACTCGGCCTCGTTCAAAAAGTTAGTTACCACATGAATAGCAATCAAAACGTGAAAATGACTAGAATTAAAAAAACATCAATTTCTGAAATTAAGAACAAAACGTTAAGCTTCACATGAAATTAGTTATAAAGAAAACCAGTCATAGGATTAGTGGCGATTATGTGTTATGTACATAAGAACAAAACTGTACGGCGTATAATATCACCCAGTGGGTCCTCTGTTGGCCAGATGACCCTCCATCGGCTAGGAAGATGTCAACTCAGAACATGATCCAGAAGGCAGGAGAACCGGGTGTCTCTGTCGGCCGGATCTCCGTCGGCCATGGCTCCGTCGATCAGACCTTCGTCGGCCATAGAGAGCTCACAGAACTGCATTTCATACTTAGTCAATTTACATACTTTGTATTCGGCCCAATAGAGGTCCCATTGTAATCGGGCCTCTCTAGCCCAAGACTTGGGAGCCCAACCCACATTTTCTCTATAAATACTCCCCTTGGGAGTAGTTGTGGGGGTTGACAAATTCATTTATTCCAGTATTTATTGCACTTCTCTCTCTAACTCTGACTTCTCTCTAAGAGGTTATACTCTATCATTTGGTGCTTTCATTGAGAGCTAAAACAATCAAGTTAGCATCCTTCGTCGCTACCAAGCACAAGCTAACTGAAGATGGGAAGAACAAGGTCAAACCGCAACTTCATCGGCAAGACGATCCCCGAGACTCAGGAGGGTCGTGAGTGCTCTGGTGATGATACGGCCGAGAAGGCGGCGGAAGAGGAAATCTTCCAGGAGACAATCGACCCCGCAGCTGATCTCCGCAATCAGCTCAATGACAACGCTCAAGACGCTCATATCGGCCTTGAGAAGAAACGCATGGAAAAGGGAGACCATGCATCAAGGCAACAGACTACTCCCGCTATTGACCCTCAGCTCCAGGCCGCTGTATCGGTCATCATAGCCAACCTGGCTCAGAATCCCACCGTCTTCAGCGCACTCATGCCTAGGACGGGGGAGAACACTACTCCATCACCTCCACCGCCCCAGCCGTTAGTCATGAAACTAGGCAACGACGACGGGGTGGAGGCCCAGGACACGCCATCATCCCATTCCCATCTTGTTTCCCTTCTTCGAGCTGGACCGACCCCAGCGCGTGGAAAAGCCTCGATCTTCAATAGGCTAGATGACACGTGCCGTCCGCCAGTATCGGAGAGGATCGCGGGACAGATTGGTGAACGTAAACCTGGCCCACCACTAGCTTGGCTCACCAAGGGAAAGCTTGGGGTCCCTATCCTGGACAGCAGATCGGCCCCGCCTGGACAAAGGCAAGGGAAAGTTGCACGAGGACGACGCGCGCCACAAAATCAACACGGCTCACGCAGCCCGTGTGCGAACCCAGCAAGGTGCCACTACGGCCGCCAAAGATCCCTGGGATGAGGTTATCGCCCAGCTCGAGCGAAGGCTCGCTCAGATGGAGGCCAAACAGCTGGCCGCCATTCCCACGGGCAACTCATCCAGGGATCCCGGCTTCAACGAACTCCTACACAAGGTCAGTGCCCTGGAGAGGGAGTTGGATGAAGGACGAGGTGACCCCATCGTCCAAATCAGGACGAGGACTCCCTTCACTGCAAGGGTACTCTCGGCCCTTATTCCCTAGAAATACCGAGGTAACGCCATCAAACCCTATGACGGCCGCACCGACCCACAGGAGCATTTCAGCCGCTATCAGAATAACATGCTGATGATGAATGCATCGGATAAGTACCTCTGCCGCTGGTTCCTTTCCACTCTCGAGGGACCAGCGTATGAATGGTTCAACGCGCTCCCCGAAGGAAGCATAGACTCATTACAGGATCTTGCCCAACGCTTCCTCACCCACTTTGCTGGGGGGAAACGCGTAAAGAAGTATTTCACCCATCTCCTCTCCATCAAGCAGCAACACGACAAATCACTCCAGTCTTTTATCGACCGGTGGACGAAGGAGACCGATGAGGTCGAAGGGGCCGATGAGCGCACCCTCCTTGTCCTTTATCAGGGCGCCCTCCGGAACACCCCATACGCAAGGAGCCTCATCACCGACCCGCCGAGGTCATACACGAAAACGCTCCAACGGGAAACCTGTACGCTGACGCTGACAAGCTCCACAACCATAAGAAGGATGGGGGGCACCCCTCCAAGAAGACAAACTCTGCGCAAACCCCTAGCGCACCCTCGGCCGGGGACCAAGGACAAGGAGGACAGAACCGCCAAGGGTCTGGCGGACTGAACAAGAAGGATCGCCCATGGCGCCCGAGGATGGAAAGGCCGAGGACCCCCCTTACACACTCGGTCAGCTCCATCCTCAATTATGT